GTAATGTTTAACTGTCGTAATGAGCTGTTTAGATATGCTAAAAGCCGATGGTCATGTTGCTGTAAGATGATTTTAGTATGCGTGTACACCATATTTGTACTAATTTCATAGTGAGTCGAGTGGCTTGTTGTAGGGATATTATTTTTCTATCAAGTACCAAGGTGATGATACGTATTGTTATTTATGATAAAATGTATTTTACGTTTGTTTTCTGAAATGGCTCGAGAGGGAGACTTGTTAGTAAGGAGAAAGAACGAAGGAAAAGAATGGTGAAGGAATAAAAGAATGAGGCAGAGAGGGATAACAGGATGTGAAGGAAAGATGTGGTGGTAGAATAGGATTTGGGAGGTGAATGAGGAGGGAGAAGAGGACCGAGATGAGGTGGTGCTTAATTCAATTGAAAACCTTGTAATATCCAGGATTTATCAATAAACCCCTGCTGACTCCACTAGACTGGGGTTGACTTAATGTTTGGAAAGTAATAGCAATATGATTTAAATTGTCAAAAATGACGTGTTGATGAATACTCATGTAAGATATATTTAGCTATCTTCTCAATATCAATGTTGCATAGCATTTATCCTCAGTAATATCTAATGTCTCATCTAAGATTATTGTCAAATTGTGCTGTATGTTTTGTTATACCGCAAAACAAAAATGGTCTTTGTATTTATTACATGTATTTTTTCTATGGTGAAAATTAAGTACATTGTCTATTTTATATATTAATAATTGAAATAAATGTTGTATATATTGTACATAAAGTGGTGTGATTTTGATCATTTATACTGTATACAGTGCATTCAGAAAGTATTCAGACCCTTTGACTTTTTCCACATTTTTTTACTTTACAGCCTTATTCTAAAATTGATTAAATCATTTTTTGTCCTCATCAATCTACACACAATACCCCATAATGACAAAACGAAAACAGGTTTTTAGACATTTTTGCAAATGTATTAAAAATAAAAACAGATACCTTATTTACATAAGTATTCAGACCCTTTGCTATGAGACTCGAAAATTGAGCTCAGGTGCATCCTGTTTCCATTGATCATCCTTGAGATGTTTCTACAACTTAATTGGAGTCCACTTGTGGTAAATTCAATTGATTGGACATGATTTGGAAAAGCACACACCTGTCTATATAACGTCCCACAGTTGACCGTGCGTGTCAGAGCAAAAACAAAGCCATGAGGTCGAAGGAATTGTCTGTAGAGCTCTGAGACAGGATTGTGTCGAGGCACAGATCTGGGGAAGGGTACCAAACACTTTCTGCAGCATTGAAGGTCCCCAAGAACACAGTGGCCTCCATCATTCTTAAATAGAATAAGTTTGGAACCACCAACTCTTCCTAGAGCTGGCCGCCCAGCCAAACTGAGCAATCGGGGGAGAAGGGCCTTGGTCAGGGAGGTGACCAAGAACCCGATGGTCACTCTGACAGAGCTCTAGAGTTCCTCTGTGGAGATGGGAGAACCTTCCAGAAGGACAACCATCTCTGCAGCACTCCACCAATCAGGCCTATATGGTAGAGTGGCCAGACGGAAGCCACTCCTCAGTAAAAGGCACATGATAGCCCGCTTGAAGTTTGCCAAAAGGCATCCAAAGGACTCTCAGACCATGAGAAACAAGATTCTCTGGTCTGATGAAACCAAGATTGAACTCTTTGGCCTGAATGCCAATTGTCATGTCTGGAGGAAACCTGGCACCATCCCTACGGTAAGGCATGGTGGTGGCAGCATCATGCTATGGGGATGTTTTTCAGCAGCAGGGACTCAGAGACTAGTCAGGATCGAGGGAAAGATGAACGGAGCAAAGTACAGAGAGATCCTTGAATACCTGCTCCAGAGCACTCAGGACCTCAGACTGAGGCGAAGGTTCACCTTCCAACAGGACAACGATCCTAAGCACACAGCCAAGACAACGCAGGAGTGGCTTCGGGACAAGTCTCTGAATGTCCTTGAATGGCCCAGCCAGAGCCCGGACTTTAACCCGATCTAACATCTCTGGAGAGACCTGAAAATAGCTGTGCAGAGACGCTCCCCATCCAACCTGACAGAGCTTGAGAGGATCTGCAGAGAAGAATGGGAGAAACTCCCCAAATACAGGTGTGCCAAGCTTGTAGCGTCATATCCAAGAAGAGCCAAGGCTGTAATCGCTACCAAAGGTGCTTCAACAAAGTACTGAGTAAAGGGTCTGAATACTTACATAAATGTGATATTTCCGTTTTAAAAAAAATACATTTGCAAACATTTCTAAAAAACTGTTTTTGCTTTGTCAATATGGGGTATTGTGTGTAGATTGATGAGAATCCTCTGTAGCTCAGTTGGTAGAGCATGGCGCTTGCAACGCCAGGGTTGTGGGTTCGTTTCCCACGGGGGGCCAGTATGAAAATGTATGCACTCACTAACTGTAAGTCGCTCTGGATAAGAGCGTCTGCTAAATGACTAAAATGTCATTTGTATTTATTTGTTTTAGAATAAGGCTGTAACGTAACAAAATGTGGAAAAAGTGAAAGGGTCTGAATACTTTCCAAATGCACTGTAGTTGTTGATCACACTGGTTTGGCCAGTTCTTCCCCACTGACAGTTTACAATGTGTGAGAGGGAAGCAGAAAGGAGAAGTGTGTGTGTGTGTACAATGTTCGGTATTCTTTAAGAAACTAGAACTACTGTTGAGTAGGGAGGTTAAAATAGCAATATGTACTGTACAGTAAACTTTTATGTAAAATGTACTTGCAAAAGTGAAGAATAGCAGACATGCAAACCTTTGCAGACATGAGGAAATCTCCCCATGAGAGTTTTCCTACCCTTTCACTTGTGTGATTTGAAGCTATATTTATCATTAGATTATCATGACATCTAAGAGACAACCAGGTTCTAAAAAGCCTACATTTAATATAAAATAGAATAATATGACAAGACTCATTTAAGACAAAATCTAAATATGTTTTTATTATTAGCATAATATCAGCAGCTTTATGACAAAATACAAAGAACTAGACAAAAGAAAGCAGTCATCAAAATAAAAAAAAGATTTAAAGAGTTTATAGCGCAACAGTACAAAACTAAGCCTTTTTAATCAGAGTTTTACATCATTGTCATTATTACATCAACATCACTAAATATTCCTCCAGTATATCATTTCAAACTGTATGTACATCATCCTATGTCTAGCAATAATAGTCTTATACATCTCGATAATAAAATACACCCTAGGCCTAGATAAAGAGAGCGCAGAGAGAGAAGAAAGATATCCGAAAAAGAGGAACTGGAGAATGAAATGGTCTTGTGGTGACTTTCTCTTTGTACCAGAAACTGGAAATGTTTGGGGATGAGGCCAAACCCTCATAATTTATTCAACATGGCAAAGGATTCAACAGAATAACATGCTACATACTGGTTTCAACACTATAAATAAAGCAGACATTCTGACCATTCTTTAATGGGAAATACTGACACACCAAACAGATAATAGCCTCTCTGGACAATGGCTTGCCTATGTGTATAGGGCCTAACTCTCACTCTCACACAGTATAAATTGAGGGAGGGGTCAGCATAGACTGAGGCTGGGACTCCACTCCACTAAGACAAATCATTCCTTTCTCTAGCAGACAGAATGTGTAGGCTACAAGCATAATGTTTGACCATGATCGGTCTGTGTTTGATAGATAATGGTGTGTGTGTGTGTGTGTAGGGGTCTTTGTAAATTGACCAAATATAATATAATAGACTCCCTGCTGCTCTCTGGTGGCAGGACTGACCACGGAGCAGCAGTGACTTTACTGTATAATGGCAGCCTGTCCATATGACTCAATACAATGACCTCAAAGCTAAACTATGTATAACGCAATACCTTTTCTCTGTAAGCACTTAACGTTTACTTCTGTGTAATGGAAACATCTATACGACACTAAAAGTGAGTCTAAAACTGACCCACACTTCATTACAAAGTTGAATCTTTTGTTGTTTTTTTGCATCCAGTTACACTTTTTTGCCTGAGATTGTCTAACTGGAATTGTAAGTATTTAAAAATAGTGTTTACCTATATTCCTGCGGTGTCTAAGTACTTTGATCATTAGAGGCCAGGAGAGGTCTGGTGGCAGAGTGAGCCTCGCTGGATTAGAGCCTGGCCTAATCCTCACCATCCGAATAATGCCCCAATTACGACAGTATAATCCAGACTACCACGCTGCTCGCCTGCCCTCACCCTGCCTGTCTGCCTGCTACACAATAGAGCAAATTTATCTTCATCTGTAATCTGATCAACACTGTCAAACCAACCACTATCCCTGCCCTGCCCTCCCCTCACATCCCCCCATCCATCCCCTGTCCCTTGTGAATCAATGACAACAACAACACCATACTCCAGTCCACAGAGCTGCTTCTGCCCTAAACCACTCCACCACTCCCTCACACCGTCCATTTAAAACCAACTGTATCCATGGTCACCACGGAGATCTGAGAATGGTCTTAAAACTGAAAACCAAAAAATAAATAAAAAATGCCACCCATAGATAGAGTACTCTAATATCAATTTGGTATGGACCATCTTCTTCAGGAGATGTTAGCTAGTAAGCACACCCACTTTTTAACCATACAATCACTTTTATCCAAACCATAAATGTCTCTAATAAGTGTATAATTCTGTCTCAGAAAATACTCAAATTCCTATAAAACCAACCAGAGTTTTTTTCTAGACAATGGTTTCAACCAAAATGTACCTCAGCATGTTCCCACTAAGTGTATGCTCTATCAAGAGTTCCTGTATAGTCCTGAATTTGTGCAAATCGTATGTGTGTAGTAGAGCATATTAAAATAGACCAAGCTAAATCATATGGTCCGGTATTGATGTACCAACCCCTAACAACACACACCATAAATCCCCTGCCAATCCTCCATAAGACATGTACAACATGAGGAAGACCAGAGGGTAGTACCTTACCCCAACAGTCAGTAAAGAGGTGATTGGCTGGGATTGGTGTGTGTTTGTGTGTTAACTTAGAACTCGTCGTCTGAGCTGAGCAGCAGGGTCTTTTCATTGTCGCGGGTGCTGACGGTGCTGTGTGTGTTGGACGCAGGCGGGGCAGAGTGACCCTGTTCCAGGGTGGACTGCTGGGTGTACTGCTGGTAGGCCGGGGAGAAGTTATGGATGGCATCCTGTACCATGTCTCCAGGGTTCATCGTCTCCTTCAGGCTGCTGGAGATGCTCTTCATGGGAGCACAGCGACCTGGGAGAAGGGGGGTGGAAGAAAGGACAATAGATAAAATATCAAAAAGGTAAAGTAAGAGTTTTGTAGTAATTGTGAATAATGTAAAACCTAAACACAGTGGATAATCACTTTTGGAAGCTTGCTACAGTGAACGTAAAAACAGCAACAATAACAACCACTGATTTCACAGAAAGCAACATTTAATTCAAAGTAAGACAAAAGGAACACAATATTGAACATAGGATTGTAAAAAGTAAAAAGAAGCGTAAAGATGGTGAAGAGACAATCAGTGGTAGACCTACCATACTCTCCAAATATAGGAACTGGGCCTTTATAACGCGGCATGGGGAAAGAGAAAGACAAAGGGGCAAGGATATGGAAGGAAGAATAAGCCAGACAAAATGACCCAGAGAATACGAAGTGGAGGGATGACCAATGGACCAAGGAGGGAGTTTATAAAAAGAACGAGGAAAAGGAGGTTTTCCAAAACCAAAGATGAATGGGAGGAGATGATAAAGGGAAATAAAGATTTTAAAAAGTGCCACAATATAGGAAATAAAGGGGTATGGAGAGGATGAGGACAAATTGGGAAATGTATGTTGACAAGGGAAGAGAGAGAAAGTGAGTGTGAGTCAGTAAAAAGAGAAGATGTGACATCATATTATATAGAGAAGATAGGTTCTGCAAAGATACTATACCATGAGTACCATGAGCTGGACCAATGTCAAGTAGGTCACCACAGTATTTAATACAGCTAAAACTCAGTCTCCTTACCCTGAGAGAGAGAGTCCAGCCTCTTGTCCATGTAGACCTTGTATGTGAAGGCATGACGCAGGGCCAGGGAGGCAAAGAACATCTCGATGCAGACAATGAAGTTCTGGTAACCGGCGGCAACTGTTCCCTCTCCCACTGACACCTCGGGTGAGTTGATTTTGGGGATGGCCCCACACTTCTCTAGGATGGCCAGCAACATGCCTGATGGAAAATAAACAGATGAATAAACAGATATGTGGAGAATGACTACAGTCCTATAGTATAATGATATTGACTTGGGCATGTAATATGATATGAATGACCTCACTCATAATCAATTGCCTACAGTGCTTCAATGATCGAAAAATGTATATCTGTATTTAGATGTTTAGTGTGTGTGTGTGTGTGTGTGTGTGTGTGTGTGTGTGTGTGTGTGTGTGTGTGTGTGTGTGTGTATGCGTCTCACCCTGCCAGAAGGAGAGGAAGATGACAGATTTGACCATGAAGAACTTGAGCAGGGGGCTGTAGGGGCTGAGCAGGTCCCGGGTGGAGAAATAGAAGAGGAAGAGGGCGTAGAGAGACAGACTCACAGAGATGTTGTAGACGATGGACACATACAGGTACCCACTCTTCACACTGGGGGGACAGACAGGGACAAGACTGTTGATTAGATTTGAGAGTAAACCAACATTAGGACAAATCTGTACCACTGGATTTACAACCATCTAAACAGCAGGACCGCATAGTTTTGGTAATCAAAGTCTTATAATAAAAAATATATGTATACATACTTATTACATTTTTGTATGAGATATTTAACAATTGCATAACAAGAACCACAGTGTCGTACTTGAAGTCTCCGTCACGGTACTTTCCAAAGGCCTGTAGGATGACTGTGACCACGGCCATGAGGGGTTTGATCACACAGAACTGTAGCGTGGCCTGCTTACAGAACCGCAGGAACCCAATGGAGTAACTCCTCCCCCAGAGACAGCACGTACCGTACATACAACTGGACCTGGGGATGCAGGAAAACGATTGTTAAATACATAATCAGTTAATGAGAGATGTTAAAACACACACACAAGTAGACTAGACACACACACACACAAACAGACCACACACGACAGAGTGGAAGAAAATACTCACTGGATAGGTTTTCCTCTGATCTCAGCCATGATGGCGCTCTCTCCTCCCAGGTACTCATAACACAGGCTCAGGAAGTTATAGATGACAAACGCTGCACAGGAGAGACAAACATTGTCAATAAAGGACAATTTAAGAAGTCAACAATACAGATATTTGAACTCCTCAGACATGTTTTACATCTAATATCGTGTACAGTATATTAACCTCCTAATATGGACATGGAAAAAGATCTAAAACCCAGTACTCTTCAATTACCCCAAGAGACAAGATAAGCCAATGACTGTCATATCAAAGGCAATGGAAAAAAGGCAACAACCACCAGACCACCCAGCCACTCATTGACTTCCTGTGCTGAGTGATGTCACAGCCCCAAGGGAGCCCTCTACTTCCTGCCCACAGTAGATCTGTGTTTCTGAACTGGTTGATTGGACCAGACCACACACTCATAGAAATTACACTGAACAAAATTATAAACGCAACATGCAACAATTTCAACGATTTTACTGAGTTACAGTTCATATAAGGAAATCAGTCAATTAAAATAAATCAATGAGGCCCTAATCTATGGATTTCACATGACTGGGCAGGGGCGCAGCCATGGGTGGGCCTGGGAGGGCATAGGTCCACCCACTGGGGAGCCAGGCCCACCCACTGGGGAGCCAGCCAATCAGAATGAGTTTTCCCCCACAAAAGGTCTTTATTACAGACAGAAATACTCCTCAGTTTCATCAGCTGTCCGGGTGGCTGGTCTCAGACAATCCCGCAGGTGAAGAAGCCAGATATGGAGGTCCTGGGCTGGCGTGGTTACACGAGGTCTGCAGTTGTGAGGGCAGTTGGAATTCTGCCAAATTCTCTAAAAACAACGTTGGAGGCGGCTTATGGTAGAGAAATTAACATTCAATTCTCTGGCAACAGCTCTAGTGGACATTCCAGCAGTCAGCATGCCAATTGCACGCTCCCTCAAAACTTGAGGCATCTGTGGCATTGTGTTGTGTGACAACTGCACATTTTAGTGGCCTTTTATTGTCCCCAGCACAAGGTGCACCTGTGTAATGATCATGCTGTTTAATCAGCTTCTTGATATGTCACACCTGTCAGGTGGATGGATTATCTTGGCAAAGGAAAAATGCTCACTAACAGGGATGTAAACAAATTTGTCCTGAATTTGAGAGAAATAAGCTTTTTGTGTGTTTGGGAAATTTCTGGGATCTTTTATTTCAGCTCATGAAACATGGGACCAACACTTTACATGTTGCGTTTATATTTTTGTTCAGTATAATTAAGATACTAAAGCTTATAGGATCCCTGTGCATACTGCACAGATCCATGGATCTATAAATCATCTGTGGCCTGCCAGCGCTACCAGTAATGGCATTGACCCATCCGTATGATATAACCAGTGACTGAGAAGCATTGTCAGTGCCCTCCCTGGGGAGTGATAAATGTCATGTCTGTAGACCAGTCATACTGGAGCAGGTGGCAGTGACTTTGCAGTACATGTTCCGGATGTGCACATTCTGTTCTACGCAGTTTGTCTCCAGTGTGACTGATGGTCTGTGTCAGCTCAATAAATCAGGGAGGGATTACAGTCTCTCAATACTCCAGGGGCTCTATGAAACTGTATAGTCGCACAGGGTATTCGCACACACTCACACCCACCCACAGACACACCCACTCGCTCTATTCTTAAGGAACAACAATACAAGTAAACACATGAGGACGTGCTCTATTCTCACCTTTGACCGGACCAATGAAAGACAACCTACAGTATGTATCCAATAGCCTGTTTGTGACCTACATGTCTGTCTGTATTGCATCAATGTGACTAGTATGACTGAGAGATGAGGAAAAGCCCAACCCTGAGGCACTCACTGTATATGACTAATAAGCTATACATCACTATTAACCCCTGAAGGGGGAATCTAAAGTTCTCATTCACTGCTCAGCAGTTCTGTGAGAGTGTGTGTTGTGTGTGTATTGAACCAGTAAGCGAGTGTGTGTTGGTGTGTAACATATGGGAGGGTATGGGCCAGAGTGTATGTTGGTGACTTGTACCGTTAAGTGAGGGTGTGTGACTGTGTAGTGAGTGATGGTATTTGCATGAGAATGTGTGTGAGTGTGTGTTACAGTGTACCGCTCTATATTTAGCCTGTACACCCAGGGGAACAGAGCTGCTGTGAGCTCCCATTTGTCATACACACCTCCTTCTCTGCAGCAGCAGCACTGGCATCAGCTATTCTGTCATCTCTCTCTATCACTCTCACTCTCTCGCTCTGTGTCTGTTTCTGCAGCACAGCTCTACTAACACATGCACAGACAGACAGACAGACAGACAGAACCATAGACATTAAGGAACAGAACCGACCTGGGGTGACACCACATCACACACACTCGACCAGACTAGCCCACACAGACTGCCAGACTAAATTCATAGATAACAGATAGCAGAGTACCAGTATCTAGAAGTTAAGGGTATTTTACAAGTACATTAGGCCTATGTAATTTGTGATATTCACCATTGTATACCTAGGAATATTGCATAAACCATACCAGATAAACAGCTGACTCTGTCTTCTGTTCTCGCTCTGTGTGTGTGTGTGTGCGTGTGTGTGCGTGTGTGTGTGTGTGCGTGTGTGTGCGTGTGTGTGTGTACCAGCAACAGGTTCTTCCTACCCAGAAATCTGGGCAGGCCCCAGAACAACAAGAGGCAGCACAGAGGCAGATCAGCAGTTCGCCATCTGTCCATGGGGCCGCGCCATGACTCCCACACACTGGTAAACAACACTTACACACACACTCCCTCTCACAAACACTGCCCTGTGGCTGTTTATCTAATCCACCTGTGTGGACATTGGAAGCCAAAGACAGCCTGCCCAGTGAGCAAAACTGGTTTAAAATACATATCTTCACTGGGTCAACCAGTTTTGCTCACTGGGTGAGGAAGTATAACAATACAGCTGATCGCCATGGTGAAGCCATTCATTTCTGTTCTACTCTATTTTATTCTACTCATGTGTAGTCTCTTACCCTCATAGCAGTCCCTGACAGTGTCAAAGTAGACGTAGTACTCCTCGTTAGTGAAGAAGAGGAGGCTGAGCCAGGAGTCAAAGGCATAGATGGGCACAATGAAGAGTATCCGCACGATGTGTCTCTGCTCGTTAGGAGAACTGTAGTACCGCAGGTGCATGTAGATCTGAGAGAGAGAGAAAGTAAGATGGATGGAAAGGGTATATATATAGCGAGAGAGGAGAGTGGGGATAAAAAAAAGATATAGAAAGGGATAGAGTTTAATGTTTACATCAATTTCTATTGTCCCATTTTACAAGACATAAAAGCAGCATTACATAGTTTCTCAACCTGTTACTAATTAACATCCTGCCTCTGAGGGAGACAGGAATGGGAGTGAGAGCAGTGGGAATTCACAGAAGAACACCGTGATGTCTACACCATAGAGATCCTATTAAATTACTAGAGGGGCTATGTCATAAACCCTCAACGTTCCAATATGGGGCAAAATGGCAGCCATATTGGTCAGGGAGAAATCTAAAACCAGTCTAATTGGAATGAATGGCAGTAGAGGCATAGGTGATGCATTTACTGCTTTAATTATACAGGAAAATAAAAGTAATGCATCTGAAATTGTGTAATGGAATTATAGTCAACCTAAAATATCGTCATACATTGAGTGAACAAAATATTAAGAACACCTGCTCTTTACAATGACACAGACTGACCAGGTGAAAGCTATGATCCCTTATTAATGTAACTTGTTAAATCCACTTCAATCAATGTAGATGAAGGGGAGGAGACAGGTTAAAGAAGGAGTTTTAAGCTTTGAGACATGGATTGTGTATGTGTGCCAATCAGAGGGTGAATGGGCAAGACAAAGGATTTAAGTGCCTTTGAACGGGTTATGGTAGTAGATACCAGGCGCACCAGTTTGAGTGTGTCAAGAACTGCAACGCTGCTGGGTTTTTCACGCTCAACAGTTTCCCGTGTGTATCAAGAATGGTTCACCACCCAAAGGACATCCAGCCAACTTGATACACCTGTGGGAAGCATTGGAGTCAACATGGGCCAGCATCCCTGTGGAACGCTTTCGACACCTTGTAGAGTCCATGCCCCGACAAATTGAGGCTGTTCTGAGGGCAAAAGGGGGTGCAACTCAATATTAGGAATGTTTTGTACACTAAGTGTATAATTATAAATACAGTTTATAAGGGTTTTATACACATTGTCTGTATAAATAGCCTCTAAAATATATGTAAACAGACCATAAATGTCTCAAATTTTATTTTCTTGGAAAGCTGTGAGTGCTATTATATGATACAATATCAATACTTGTTTCACTTACAAGTCCTATCATCAACTGATTTGAGCCAGTGTATGGCTGTGGACTGACAGGATTGTCTGAATGGAATGTTGGTATATTGGCAGTTAATTTGAAAAATTAATGGAATCATTCCTCTAAAACTGGCTGGCTAGCTAGCTAACAGACATATAGTGCAGATAAATTCTTCACATTCATTGTTTTACACAATATCTTATCACAGCATTGGCAAACCATGGTTCACCCTGACCAACATGGCTGACCTTTGGACCATTATAAAAAGGTTCATGTTCATTCTAGTATTCTAATTCCTAATTATATGTTCTACACACTCTCCTTGGCATCTTTTCAGTTTTGCCCCCTTTTGTCTACCCAAATAAAGAAGCCACCAGACACTCTCATTCTCGTTTCAGACAGTAGGACAGAGATTACCTTTCATAAGGTGGGTGTGTGCAGTACGTGTTGAGTTGTTCAGTTAAACAAATAGGGATTGTGTGTTGTTGCTAGGCAATCTGTGCTCTCTGACTGAGCACTGAGCAGATGCATCTATTCCTCTGTAGCTCAGCTGGTAGAGCACGGCGCTTGTAACGCTAAGGTAGTGGGTTCGATCCCCGGGACCACCCATACACAAAAAATGTATGCACGCATGACTGTAAGTCGCTTTGGATAAAAGCGTCTGCTAAATGGCATATTATATATATATTATATTATTATTATATTATTATATATTATATATTATATATTCCTCCAGCATCACCCCAGGTGGAACCTCTAGTTAAATAACCTCCCCACACTGTAGGGCCTACAGGGAAAGACAACACCTAGACCCCCGAGCCTGGGCACACCAAATGTCAACAGAAACTCCAAAATGTGTTCAGTTTTAGTGGATTGAGTGTGTTTTGAGACATGGGGAAGTGTGTGTGTGTGTGTCTGTGTGTGTAATGTGTATTATATTACCTGGTGGCAGGTGAAGAGCAGGGCGGTCCAGACGAAGAAGCCCGACAAGGCCTGGGCAGCGGGGGTCATCAGGAAGGTGGGCTGGTCCAGGGTCAGCAGGGGGGCCTCTGGGAACCAGGAGATGTTGGGGCCCGGGGGGTCCATAGTGGGAGGGGGGCCAGGGGCCACAACCAGGGGGTAGTCCTCTCCAACAACGACACCTAATCCTAGCCGTTCAGACAGGGGCACGTCACGCCTCCACAGATGACTCATCTGGAGACAACGGAACAGAGAGAAAAAATGTCCTTTATGTCTTTATGTCCACATTAATGATACCGTGCATAAACAGTGCAGACATTCAGTCTGATACTTTCCAGTAATACATGTGAAAGCAGAGCATTATTGGAGATACTGTAACCATCAATCATCAACCACAGTTATTGATAATGTAATTTACGTTGATGAGAGCATCTGATAAAGGAAGAGCAGAGACAATGAGTCAGGTGTGTCGTACTGTTCACTAAATGGAGTCTGAGGGAATCAATAGATTCCAGAGTGGAGGGCAGGGGGGGGAGAGAGAGAGAACTGTATAATCTCTGATAGTCAAACCAGTGTTTCCCCCTCCTAGGCTACTAACTGTATAAACAGCAGTGGCGTGTATTCATGGATGCCAAGGAAAGCCAGGCTTCCCCAAAAAATTGACCCCCCAAAAAAGAACAAATATTATTTAGTCTCACTGTTTCATATTTTTCCTTCAATTCGCAAGAGGCTGAATGTTTCTCACAGGAGAAAGCATCCGAGCGAGCGAAACAGCTCCCCTCTGTCTCTCTACATGTAGGCATCTATCTGATGCTGTCTGGTCCAAACGAGTATGACAATGTTGCCACCCATAGCATTGAAGGCAAGGGAAGCCAGCGAGCATCTGACCTCCCTTGACAAAAAAAGCATACAAAATTAGCCAAACTGAGCGAGCTCAACTGTGAATGTTCCTGGCGCACCAAAAAAAGTGTCATGGGAAGCCAGCTTGGATTTGCCGTCACTCCTATCAAATCCCATTGGGAGCATAGTGTCATTGACAGAAAAACTTGATTGTTGCATCTCGTTGTGTTGTTGTCCTCCGGTGGCTAGCTAGCTAAAATTGCCCTTTCCTAAATTAGCCATGGATGGAGATAGGGATTTGGACTTGTGGTTTTACTTAATTCTCCATACTGGCCAATGATTATAATGGCGATTCTGATTCAACCATTAATTCATATATTGTTGTGGCCCTGGCCTGAGAGGATGGAACTTCAATATGTAGCTAGATGTAGAAGGCTAATGTTAACTAGCTACCGTTGCCCATGAATGCAAGTTAGGCTAGCGAGCAAGCATTTTAGCCAGGTAGCCTAGAACAACAAAAAATTAAAGCGTGTACTGTATGACAGAGTGATGGACCATTTTGTCAACATGAAAGAGAGGAGGATGGCATTGGCGTTTCTCTTCAAGTAGGGTGAGTCAACATGTTTTTCTACTTGCATGAACGCGCACGCACACAGAAATTAGAACCATGGACAGCCACATCATATTTAGCTTACGTTGATTGGACTAAATTGTTTTTGGTATCTTTTAGTTGTCACTGTATTAGATTAAGCAGAGGTGATTTGATGAAGTTGAAATGTTGAAGTTGAAATGACAGCTCCTGTTTTCTTTGTGACTTGCGGTAACTCTATGTGGTTCTAAATCAATAGTTGTTTAGTGGTCCGAAAATGTCGGAAACATGAACTTGCTGTAGGTCATGTAACTGTCTGTTACTGTACACGCAATATGCTTTGTGGACTTCACTGAACAGAGGTTGCTATCCGGTTTTGTGATAAAACAAAAGGTGTGGTTGAATTTATTCTGCCACTGTGTCTTCTTATTGTCTCTGCCTTTAGGCCTATATATTACGGGGGGGGGGGGGCTTGGCTTCCCCAGTGATTTTATCCACGCACAGCTACTGATAGACAAAGCATTCCCTCCTGCTTAAAATAATTGGGGTTCTAGTGACAGTTTCGATAAACAGGCTGATCTGAAAGCATGCATTTTATGGGCAATTCCACGATAAAAGAGTGATGCTGAGACTGATTGTTTTTGTAAGTAAATGATTGCAAAGATAAACAAACCATACAACTCTATGCACAAGGACTACTTTGAATCATTTCCACAGATTTTTTTTACAAAACCACATTTACTTGAAGAACAGTACAGATGCAAAGTTTGGTAACAGAATGATGGCACAAACAGCACAAACCGTCATTCTGTTCTTTAAGTAACTGTGTTTTTGTAAAAAATTCCATGAACATTTTTTTAAGTAGTTATTGTGCATAGAGTTGTATGGTTTGTTTAACTACAGTATTTTCATACGGAAGAGGGACCAAACACAAGGAAAATCCAAAAATGGCATTTGTAAACGTTGCCATTTAGTCATCATGAATCCCTACTTCAAACATAATTTAGTATCAGCTATCCTGCTGGCATGTTTGTATTGTCAGGATCTGCCACGCGATAACAACCTTAATGTCAGTTGGTGCTATCATTGATATTATCATAGAAAAAATAAGAAATACTGTCCACTTCAAAGGCCACACACAATAACACACACAGTGAGACTAAAAATAGCCCGCTGTGACTCATAATGCCTTTCTCAAGCAAAATCAGAGACAGCAACAGTGGACAGCATATAAAGGATGTGTCTAAACTGACCTATCATATCATGGCTTGGCTGCCAAACCACATAGCAAGTCACATTAACAGCAGCATGACAGACTGAGGCAGTATTCTGTTGTTTCCACACACACAGGCATGCAAACACAGGTGTAATCCTGGGTCTCACAAGTACTACACTAATGAAATTAAATGAATCCAATTACATTGATTATGTGACTTGTGTCTCTGACTGTGTGGGCGTTGGAGCTTGAGTCACATGAATGTCTATGAGTGTGCGTGTTTCTCTCTGTGTGTGTGTATGTGTGTGTGATGGGGGTAATTTGTATTGATTTGCAGAGACTCAGCAAATCAACATGCAGAATAGGGCTGGGTTGAATGCATCAGCGGCAGACAGGAGGACAGACAGGGGGAGAGAGACACAGGAATGGAAAGTGAAGGTCTGCCGAGGCCAAGGGTCATGTGTCTCATTTGAAAGGCAAAAGGGCAGTCAGTGACACAACACACACAATGAAATGATGTGGCTGCCCGACAGACTGACAGGTGGAGGAACATATAAAGAAACAAATGGAATAATGTATGTGTGTGTGTGTTGGGGTTTGTGAGGGAGGTAATAATAATAAAAAACCATCAAAACAGGTTAAATGCATGAGTTTCTGTACAAATATCCATAACAAATGCCACATTAACTTAAATTACTAGTCAGGTAAATTATGAAATATGAGATTAGGAAGATCAAGTGATTAGAAAATAGAAATCTCAATAAATTAAATGTCCAATCAGCAAGCAGCAGCAGCCATTCAAGCAATTTTGGCAAAACAACTGGCAGAGAAACATTGTTTGCAATAGAGAAACATAGTAGCCACTAATGTAAGCACAACTCGACACTGAATGAATGAAGGTGGTAAACAGGCGCATTCTGTATATAGACCTTCACTCTCACCCTTTGCAGTTGATTGTCGAAATGTAAACTTGAATCAAGATGACGTCTGTCTGACGAATGGAAGAAAATGTTTACTAAACATACGTTTATGCAAATTTATTTTAAAGACGACAACTAGAAACGATTGTTATTTTAGACATAACTTTAATCTGATTTATTTGCATTCAAACGGGCAAGTAAAATCATTTTACCTTTAATCAATTGATGGTTTCAGAGCAAACTTTAGTCGGCGGGTGCAGTTTTAGAGCAAGAAACAAGATAGAAATGGGATTTAATTCCACAAAACTGCGATCGTTATTTCGATATCCATGTTTATTTTCCAGTCCTGCTCGATTGGAAATGTGTCAATTCTAACCAAGAGTTAAATCCTTTTTTTTTTTATCTCCGTTTTTAAGGTTTTAATCTCATTTTAGTATGCCTTGGTCCTTTCTTCATTCCGTTATGAACAACACAGGTAAAATGTCAGTTTTGTCCTTCTCTATAAACTCCGTCATTCCTTTCTCCCCTTTTCCTACCTCTGCGTTTGTCACACAGACCCAATCCTCTAGGATTAGCTACAGTAGACCAACTCCGTTCGGTACTCTCCGTAGGTTCTCTCGAATGATATGTAGCCTGCTGTTTGCACCAATCACAGCCAATGAACACCAAGCACCAGGAAGTGGATGGGTTGTGACAGAGATGTGTATATAATGACGAGATGCTCATGTCTCCACCCTAACAATGGGAGTCGTTATCCAAAAGGCGGGAAGGCAGGTGACAAGTTTTGCTCCAGAATAAACCCATGGAAAAGCTTTGGGTTTACTTTGGACAGATTTTGGTGAGTGATACCTCTCGCTTCGCTTCTTCCTCTCTGGTTGTGATTTGTGGCAATGCGCATGCGCATGTCTAATTTGAGTCGAATCGCATTTACGGGCTGATCCTAGGTCAGTTTAGTTTTACATTATTTTCCATCCTAACAGTGAAGGTAAGAATTGAAAGATGTATCTAAGAACTATCAAAATGACTTCTAAAATAAATTATCCACACACACAAACACACAACAGACAATATTATAAGTTGTGCATATCTTTATTGACTCATAAAATATAGCCCCCCCATCCCCTGAATCAAAACGGTATGAATTGTAGTTTAGGCCTGTTCCGTAAACTGTATCCACATGTGTTGTTTCTTGTTGTATTATTGCACGTGATTTACATCGTTGTATGTACCTATGTATTTATGCACTATATGTGGTGATGCTGTGCTGTTGAGTTTGAGATGCAACAAGACAACTTTACAGTAAGGGACACAATAACATGATTATTATTATTAATGATGATGATGATGATGATTATAATTATTATAATTATTATTATACACAATATTGTTGTAATAAAATCTAAGCATGGTAAAGAAATGTACAAGATATCAGTGCACCCACACAACCATATATTCCATCTTTATTATGATCTGCCCTGCCCATGCAGATGCAGGTCTACCTTACATTGACTCCCTCTGCACCCAACCAAGCCCTCCTGCAGGTCAATACATCTCTGTTACTACATTGAGATCTTCAAACCACCTAGCACATTTTCGCTTTACACAAAAACATATTTACAGAGATAATAAATAAATAAATAAAAGTTATTGAGGATATAACTTTTAAATCCAACCTCTTCATTTCTCCCATGCTCCTCCTCACAACTCCAGGATAATACGGCTTGTTTACTTATTAACATAATAACCAAGAGCACAGGTATTGTTCAACAGTATTCTCGCTTTTGCGAAGCCTGGCATGAGAGGTTAGTGTCTTGTCTTGACTTACCAGTTGACTAAAACACCAGAACAAAAATGACCAATTGAGTAAATAACTAATTTCCTCCACTTTATGATAAGAAGTAATGGTCCTTTATTATATGGTCCACCGTCAATTGTTGTGGCATTATTAGCTCTCTGTTGTTGACAAATGTAATACAATACTGTGTTCACACACACTGCAGAGTGGAGTGGAACCTCAATGGAAATGTGTCAATAATCTTAACAGGAAGTGTTGTAGAACCAAAATGTCCTAATTTAACGCTAGGTTAAAATCTACTCATAATTATTCTTATCCAGGAATTCCTAAACAGCAAGGACGTAAAGAGAAAATGGGTGACAGTCCATCTCTCTAAGTCTCCTACCATCCCCTTCCTCCTTTGACTCTTGGTCAGTCCTTGGCTTGCTAAAGCCAAAAGTACAAAGAACAAACAGTAAGACAATAAGACATTGACATACACTGACTATATGCAACCCCACTTCTCTAAGCAATTCTGATGCAAATACTTCATTCACTTTAATCTTTTCCCATTCCTGAACAACGTTTTACCACATCTCTTCCTATCTCTCTTTCTTCCAATTCCCCCAGATTCCTATCGACTGAGATCGTCTTGCCTACTAGTGAATAAATCATTTTTACTTGACCCCAGGAAACCTCAGATTTTGTTGTTGTTGTTGATTATAAACATACACCATTAGCAGTAAATGTAGCTGTCATAAATTGGACATTCAATGTGAGACAAACGGTTTCGACTGTGTGTGTTTTTTAACCTACACATGAGCCCATACAACCACCTCAGCGATGAAAACAGCTGGAACAATCAGAGTTTGTCCATTTTGCACTGACGTGCATATTTTTTTGCGCATTGAGCTTCTGAGAGACATGTATGGTCCCACTGATCATATAGCCGGCGTAATGAGAGTGAACCAGGACAGTAGTACAGAAGTCTCATTCACCAGCCGAGGCAAAGGTCTTACAAGCCTGGGAAGCAAGGCTAGACCATGAAAGTGTCTTTCAGTCGTCAATCTTTCATCTTTATCACAATTTCTTCCAGTAAACTACAGTCATAGTGGACAGGCGTTCACTTCTCACACTTTCTTTCAATCCTTCGTTCCTCTTCTTTTCCTCCCTTTTTTCTTCCATCTTTCATCCCTCTTCAGTGTTGTTGACCCACTCGTTTCTTTTTTATCCAACAATTTCAAAAGTACTTGAGTAGGTATTTGATACAATGCCATGGCTGCAAAAAATATTCATATATTTACTGTTTTTACTTAACTTTTTACACACATTTGCAAAAAATGTCATTCAATAAAACATAAGCATACTTAGGGCCAAATCCGACCTTGAGATCTGTGCATTTAACTCACTAACATGAGTAAATCATGCATTGATGTTACAGGTTAGGGTTGGTCCATAGTTCACATAGTGTTGTCCCTCTGACGTGTCCTTACCTGCCAGTGTCCAGAGGGCCAGAGGAGCAGCTCACTTCCCCAGGTGTTCAAATGGCACACTGACCTGGTGAAGAGGAGAGGGGGTTAACAGACAGCATTGGGTTAGTATAAGGTGCTGTGCATTCAACAGACATACTATACATTCTCATACACAGGCAGACAAACTTCAATCCCTTTCAGCAGGGGAAGAGTGGGGAGCAGTGGGGTTCACGATAGCAGAGAGAGAGAGAGAGAGCAAAATAGAGAGAGAGATACAATGGTAGGTGAATTACCTGTGATGTGGCGATGCGTGATTGGCCCATCTGTGCAGTGAGGTCAGAGGAGGAGATGTTGGCGGGGGCGCCACGGTGGAGCCTCATGGCCACCTTTCTCTCTCGCTCCGCACGGGACACAGCCTGTGGGGACCGGTTCCCTACACACACACACACACATTATTGGTCAAATGGAATTTAGTGCTGAGCTAGAACAAATGCCTGCACACCTTGGACTTTCCTCAAAGTTTCCTCAGCCAAGTCCAAACACAATAGATTATTTAAGAGACTAACAGGGAGCAAGAGGGCTACAAACTGGAGTCATGAATTGAGCATGTGGTTTAGTTTACACACCCTCCCTCGTGTTTATACAGTCATTTCCTGTCATTTCCTGTCGACCTAATGAAGTAAGTAAAAACCTTGCACACTAGTAGTACTCCTAAGTAGTTGGTGCATAGATCTGAAATAGTCAGTAGTAGAAAAAGAGAAGGTCCGGACTCTTAGATTTGTTTTAGTCCAAATGGAATAAACATTTTGTTTGATATTTCACTTTCATTCTAAGAATGCAGACCTTATTTTCTATTACCGTCTGCCTCATGACTCACCTGACTGTGGGACTCCTCTGGAAGCAGGGTTAGAGGCTGCTGCATTGGGGCCATTTCTGATCCTGTCTACACCACCAAGGGGGTTGCCGCCCAGGGGTAGGGCACGGGGTGCCCTAGGTCCCCCTCCGATCCTCTCATCCCCCTCCTTTCCCTCTCTCCTCTCCCTTTCCCTCTCCCTCTCCCTCTCCCCATCCTCAGCTGTCCTACTGGCCCCCTGAAGCAGAAAGATGAATGTGCAGGTTAGGAAGGTGACAGGGATTCAAAATGAACTCATAGGGAACCATGTTTATATAATCAACTATGTAAACGTCATATATTATACACTTATAATACACATGTAATCCACTAATGTGTAATTGCATTTAAAATGAGTGAAAATGTAATGATAAATAAGGACAACAAATAGCTAAATTGTTAATACATTATTTATAGTGTAATAATAATGGTTAATAGGGATGCAGTACTCACAAACTTGAGCATGTTCCAGTCAAAGACGTAGTCGTAGGAGAAGCCCTGTCTGTGGAACAGGTTTCTGAACAGCTGTCTCAGGTACGAGTAGTCCGGCTTGTCATCGAACCGCAGAGAGCGACAGAAGTTCAAGTAGGTGGAGAACTCAGCTGTGGATAGAGTGGGTGACAGAGAGACTCAGCTGTGGATAGAGTGGGTGACAGAGAGACTCAGCTGTGGATATAGTGGGTGACAGAGAGACTCAGCTGTGGATAGAGTGGGTGACAGAGAGACTCAGCTGTGGATAGAGTGGGTGACAGAGAGACTCAGCTGTGGATAGAGTGGGTGACAGAGAGACTCAGCTGTGGATAGAGTGGGTGACAGAGAGACTCAGCTGTGGATAGAGTGGGTGACAGAGAGACTCAGCTGTGGATAGAGTGGGCGACAGAGTGACTCAGCTGTGGATAGAGTGGGCGACAGAGAGACTCAGCTGTGGATAGAGTGGGCGACAGAGAGACTCAGCTGTGGATAGAGTGGGCGACAGAGAGACTCAGCTGTGGATAGAGTGGGGACAGAGACCAGCTGTGAGAGGGTCGACAGAGAGACTCAGCTGTGGATATAGTGGGTGACAGAGAGACTCAGCTGTGGATAGAGTGGGTGACAGAGAGACTCAGCTGTGGATAGAGTGGGTGACAGAGAGACTCAGCTGTGGATAGAGTGGGTGACAGAGAGACTCAGCTGTGGATAGAGTGGGTGACAGAGAGACTCAGCTGTGGATAGAGTGGGTGACAGAGAGACTCAGCTGTGGATAGAGTGGGTGACAGAGAGACTCAGCTGTGGATAGAGTGGGTGACAGAGAGACTCAGCTGTGGATAGAGTGGGCGACAGAGAGACTCAGCTGTGGATAGAGTGGGCGACAGAGAGACTCAGCTGTGGATAGAGTGGGCGACAGAGAGACTCAGCTGTGGATAGAGTGGGCGACAGAGAGACTCAGCTGTGGATAGAGTGGGTGACAGAGGGTCGCCAAAGGGTCACCAAAGACTTGGGTCAAATACACATTAATTTAGCTTGGTGTTGAAAGACTACTTGAAGTGAGTTTCTAACAAAGCTAACTCATAGTTAGTGTTGTAAACCCAGGATAAAGAAACCCTATAACTACTTACAGGGGTATCCCTTGCAGAGCACCTCGATAGGGGTGGACATCTTCTTCTCGCTGATGCGTTCATACTTCTGCCTCTTGGTGGCGGCCTTGAGGCCCTGCCAGGGCAGAGAGCCCAGGTTGAAGTACATCAGGACATAACCCAGAGACTCCAGGTCATCACGACGAGACTGCTCTGTAGAGAGAGATAGGCGGAGAAGAGTGGGGGGTTGTGGAGGAAGAGAGGAGACATGGAAAGAGGAGACACACTATACTGATCTTATTTAGACACATAAAACAAAACAAAAACATGTGTATACCTTTAGAGGAGAAAGAGGAGAGAACAGGAGCATAGAGTAAAGGAAAGGAAAGAAGAGGGGAGTGAGGGAGGAAGGAGGAAGAGAGAGCACGGAGAAGGGTCAATACTTGTGTGAGTCCTACTGCAGTAGTTCAGAGAATCCACCCCTGGTCAATACCGACACAATCACGTAAAATCTATCGACTCTCACTACACACACACAGCAGACGAAGGGTCAAACATACGTGCACATACACTGTTAATATTACAATTAGTACTGTACCTATCCCCAGGTGTGTGTTGATGGATGCATAGCGCGCAGTGCCAGTCAGGTTCTTGTTCTCGCGGTAGGGGATGTGCTGGTGTGTGCGGGCGTCGCGGTACTTCTTGGCCAGGCCAAAGTCGATGATGTACACCAGATTGCCCTTCTTGCCCAGGCCCATCAGGAAGTTGTCAGGCTTCACATCTCTGTGGATGAAGTTCTTAGAGTGGATGTACTCAATACGGCTGATCTGGAGAGGAGAAAGGGTGTGGAGAAAGAGGGCGAAAGGAGAGAGGGAATGGTTGACTATCATTATCAGTTCCAGTTCTTGGTTAAAGCCAATAACGTTATATATAATCAAGGGGTATCCTTTGAAAATGCCATCACAATAAAGCATATAGAGAAACATATAAACCATATGATATGATAAAAAGGTGAACAGAGGTTGTGGAGGAGGAGGAGGAGGAGGAGGAGGAGGAGGAGGAGGAGGAGGAGGAGGAGGAGGCGTGCTGTACCATCTGATCAGCCAGCAGCAGGACAGTCTTGAGGCTGAACTTGCGGGAGCAGAAGTTGAACAGGTCCTCCAGACTGGGACCTAGCAGCTCCATCACCATCACGTTGTAGTCTCCCTCTGCTCCACACCACTTTATGGTAGGGATGCCCACTGTAGGGAAAGGAAGGGAGAGAGTGATTTATAAGCTAGTGTCACTTACTGGGGTTCGAATCCAGGTGAGTAAGCCTTCTAAGCTAAAACCTAGGCATTAGCTTGGAAAAACCACGCAAATCTTCAGGTTTCAGGTTTCCCCAACATAGTCGCCCACCACCCCCACCCCTGACCACACCCTCTTGTCCTACTCATTTACATTTACATTTACATTTTAGTCATTTAGCAGACGCTCTTATCCAGAGCGACTTACAGTTAGTGAGTGCATACATTTTCATACTATTCTCTCACCTCCTCCCTGCATCATCTTGTAGAACTTGCTCTCGATGTGGAGTTGTGGGTGTTTGGTCTTCACACATTCCAGCTTAATGGCCACCTCCTCACCCGTGGCGATGTTAACGCCTGACAGAGACACAGGAAGGGACAAATACCATGACCACCTTTTTGATTATGTGATCACCATGGTCTACTCTGACACAGTCTTTTCTTTTTATGCCCAGCTTTGATGTGTTCAATGATTAAATGTGTTCGGACAGAATTTAAAGAGATACTTCGGGATTTTGGCAATGAAGTATGAAGGAAGTTAGAGGTAGTTTCGCGAGCTAATGCTAACTAGCGTTAGCGCAGTGACTGGAAGTCTATGATATCTACTAGCATGCTAACACTAGTTTGCAACTTCCTTCAAACTGCAAGCAGAGACATAAAAATGGTATCCACAAGTTCATCTGACTGTGAAGAAGTAGATAAAGGGCTTCACTGCCAAAATCCTGAAGTATTCCTTTAAAGGTAGTATGGAAGGCAGTCTACTCTGGAGTATGTTTATTTCGAGGTTTGTGAGAATAAGTAGAGTTAGAGCTGCATTAAAACAAAGGTCTTACCCAGGTAAATGTCTCCAAAAGAGCCGCTCCCTATCTTCCTCCCGAGGCGGTACTTGTTCCCCACTCTCAGCTCCATGGTTCCTGCTGGTCTTCACAACTCACTGAGGGAGCAAACACACATTTATATTTGAGTGATTTAGCAGACACTCTTATCCAGAGTGACTTACAGGTGCAATTAGGGTTAAGTGCCTTGCTCAAGGGCACATCGACAGATTTATCACCTAGTCGGCTCAGGGATTCAAACCAGTGACCTTTTGGTTACTGCCCAACGCTCTTAACTGCTCGGCTACCTGCCGCCCTTTGTCATCAATCAAACTGTTGATCGATATAGCTGAAGGACGTTGTGACGCAGCCCAGTTCCACCTCAATCTCAAGGGGCTCCAACTCAAATAAGATGTTGCAAAAGGGAGAATTGGTTACAAAATAAGAGATGGGACAAGAGAAAGCACAAAATGAAGACCAAGTCAGGGATGGAGAAAGGAGAAAACATTATTTAAGCCCAAATAATTGGAATGGGAGTGGAAAAAGTGTGGTTAAAATGTTGTTTTTTAACTTCTTATAAGAATGGATTTGAAGGAGCTGTGTACCATGCATCTGGGAGAGGGCACGTGCAGGGGAGAACTAAGTGTGAATCTGACTTAATAAATTCAGCACATTGAACCAGCTGGCATCTCACACACTCCATCTCACTTCAAAGGAAATCAGCACATACACAAATAATTAGCATAACCTCATCATTTCAGAGTCTCCAATGAAATTAAGTGAAACACATTTTCTTCCAGCTAGCCATGTGCATGCTTTTCCCATCACAATACAGGAAGAGGTTTACTATGGAAAATGGCTGTGGTGGTGTTGAAATACATACATAGCAAAGACAGACTGATAATAAAGATGGTATATGTGTTTATTTGGCATTTGTATTTATGCTCTGTAAGGGCAGTGCACTCAGGATGCCCTGCTCGTGTCTTGTCTGGAAAGGTTGGGAGCAGAGCAAAATACAATGTGTAACAGACGAACACTAAACAAATTATTACAGATGAACTAATAAAGTTAGAATCTATTCTACACTATAATTCAATTATATATATTTTTTAAATGTATATTCTACAGTCATACATAATGGTGGTGGATGAGCTGGGATAAATCCTAACAGCGATAGAAAATTATGAAGCAAGGTAATGATAGAGGATAGGAACTCCATGCAAGCCCTTATTATAATCTTACCACGATCATTTCACACAGTAAACTCGTCTCAATTAAGGTCAAACTCTTGTTCATGAATGCATATACGAAACAGCTCAAGTTTGTGTAATGTAAGTAGCCTACCCTATAAACCTATAACAAAATTGAGCTCTATTCTTGTAGCAAGGTTGTAGCGCTGCTCCATAGCAAGATACCAGGGGCCACAACGTCATTTGCTGCAGATCTAAAATAGTAAATCATCCACTCGACAGACCTAGGAAGCTAGATTAAACCTATCCAAAAGTCTAATCAATATAATTAGGCCTATATTAGGCACATTAGAATTCACGTTCAGTGTTTATTGTCAATATTTGCACAAAGCCGCACCCTTGGCTTGGGAAAACCTTCTCGGTCGAGAAAAACCCTCTTTCCCTACCTTCCGATTCTGACTCGCTTGTTTGGGTCCCTGTACAAACCCCAAACAGACAAACACAATTCCCCGTGATTTACCAATGGACCCGTGCCTTTCCTCCCCTCCTTTCCTCACCCGTTTTGATCAAGCTCTTCAGGGACTGCTGCCTTCCTTCCACCGAGGTGCTGATCAGGACGCTGTCATTCAAACAGCACCATGGACAGCGAAAGACGGCCACGACGCTTGACGAACCATTCCTCACCGCCCTCCTAATCCTGATCCCGATGTAAACGTCCCGCGGTATAGTCTGGTCTAGTCTGCACTACGAATGACAGATATTTTAGTGTAAACTCAGAAATCCATATATTCCCCTCTCTCTCGTCTCAGTTACACCATTGACAATATCAATGATGTCATTCAGCACAGACCATAAGAAAATGCCCGGATTGCCTTAAAGACACCGCGCGCCTCACGCAGCTGTTGTTCCACTGTTGTGAATGTCGTGAGCTGGAGCACTTTCAAAGGCTTCTATACTCAGTCTAATGAAAGTGTTGTAGTTTTTTGTCTGTGCATTGGGTTATATCATGATGAATTTATGTGAATGGCTATTTGAGGACAATTCATCAAACAACGATGCGGTTAGCCTCAGTTGCTGGGACTGCAATATTACATTTTAGTCATTTAGCAGACGCTCTTATCCAGAGTGACTTACAGTTAGTGAGTGTATACATTTTTCATACTGGCCCCCGTGGGAATCGAACCCATGCTCTACCAACTGAGCTACAGGAGGCCCGGGATACTGCCAAACCCTAAAGAGCTGCTGCTTGGCGAAAAAGCTAGCCTAGCTTTCCTTGACAGTTTGAACACAGCCCGCGACCTGTTATCCCTTGTGTTTCCTTGTTTTTTGTATAGAAAAGGCCATTCAAGAAGGTCGAAAGCCTTTTCGGCATTCATAGACATTATTGATACATCTATTTCTTGTTTTTTAGTGATTCTTTTTTGTCTGCTGATAAATGCGTCAGGGTTGTTGAGTCAAAGAAGGCTGTAGGATCAGTCCCACTGTTGTCTAATTCTGATTTAAATAGATTTTTAAAAATGGTCATTAATCGCGTTGTTGTTTCTAATTAACGCATTTCTAACTTTATCTTTGAAAATTATAACTGGTTTGGTGTATTGGTTTTGGGAGGGCTGCAAGATGTTTACCAGGTTTATTTGCCATTAAGTAGTATGCTTAATAGTAGCCTATGCTTTATTTGAGTTTAACCTGTAAGCTAGTTGTTGTCTCTCTTCAAAAGTAAAATATCATATTCCTGCTCAAATTCAGAAATTAAATGTTCTTCTTTACCTTGTAAAGATTTTTTAATGGGCTTTTTCTAAAATAGTGAATTCTTGTTGTTTTTCTTTCATTCTAATTTCTAACTCTGATTTAACTTTTGCTGATTAAGAGATTATCATTCCCCTAATGTACGCCTTAAAAGTATCCCAAATTATATTGAGTGTCTGCTTTTCTCTATGTCTACATTTGTAATGGTAAAGGTTTAAATTTTTTCCTTTATGTATTTAATAAATGTTGGGCCTTGATTCTCCATATTCTGTCTCTAAGTGTATTTTCTGTTGGTGTAATTAATTATGATACAGGAGAATGATCTGAGATCACCATGTCATGGATTTCTGAACCCAGTAAATTGTTGAGAGCATTTTTTTAAATAAAAAATGTAGTCAATTCTTTAATAGCTTTTCTGAATTGAGAAAAACATAAAAAATAAGTAGTCTTTTGTAGTTGGGAATAGTAGTCTCCAGGTGTCCTGTAAATTATTTGTAGAGATTACATTTTTCAGCTTCTTATGAGGTTCCTTGAATCTGTCAATCATATTGAATATATGATTTAGGTCGCCTGCTAAAATAACAGTTCCTGTCTGGATTTGGTCTAATATAGCTTGGATTCTATCTGAAAACACCAGATTTGCCCCTGGTGGGATATACAATGAAATCAATGTGCATTGTTTACATTTACATTTTAGTCATTTAGCAGACGCTCTTATCCAGAGCGACTTACAGGAGCAATTAAGGTTAAGTGCCTTGCTCAAGGGCACATCGACAGATTTTTCACCTAGTCGGCTCGGGGATTAGAACCAGCGACCTTTCGGTTACTGGCACTACGCTCTTACCCACTAAGCTACCTGCCGCCCTTGTTCACCATGTAAGGTACAATTCAACATTAGAAAACTGCCTTCTTGGTCAGTGTGCTGGGATATAAGGGAAATGGGTGTATTCTTATTTATCAGGATGCCTACACCTCTGCTGTTACAGTAGGTGGCAGCATAGGCCTCTCCAACCCAGCTCCTCTTTAAATATTCAATTTCTCATTTTTTAAAATGTAACTCTTGCAGGATGTAACTCTTGCAGGATGTAACTCTTGCAGGATGCAACTCTTGCAGGATTGTTCGTTTGTTGTTGTTTCCATCGGCCCTGTGAGTTGTGCTGGCTGGAATTATGTGGAGTACCAGCGTTAGCCTACTTTGCTACCATCCTGCCGCCCAGAGTTAAAGAAGGTTGGAGTAATGGAGAGGACAGTATTTTGCTATCACAGGTGCATGATCTTTTAAATCAACAAAAATATGTCTAAAAGAAATTGTTACAGAAACAGGAAAATAGCTTCAAAAGCTTTATCCAAATACTGGTGGACTCAACTAACAAAAACATGGACGATCTGACCAGAGGTCCAAGACCTTAAGAACAGTTTGCAGAGAGGTGGATGTCCTGAAAGAGAGACTTGCAGCAAGATTACAAGAAACGGTAAATCCACACGAGATGATGTCAGCACTGTCTGTGAATCATTATAGAGTATCACCAAAGACACTACAGTATAGGTTAGAAACGCTGTGGTACCACAGTATGAGTCATAATACCCATATAACCTAGCGGTCA